AAGCAACCAAGTTATTATATGGGCAAGCTAAATCACACAACCACGCATACAGTAAACCTTCACTAGTAACTCATTAACATAACTAGTATTGGACATTGATTCATGAAAAACTTACTTTTCTGGAAGAGGAAGAGTAGGGTAAAGTTCACGCAGTATTTTCACAATTTCTGAATAATGTGCAACTCTCTCGACCATTAAATATCTTCCATTAGCTGAAGGATTCGCAAATGCCAAAATATGAGCAGTAGCAACATCTTTGACATTAACCCATCCAAATGAAGCATTTGGGTAAGGTTCTGCATCTGCATTAAGACTTCATGTCATCAATTGTCTAGTTCTAGTGAGAATCATTAATTTCATTTGCATGCTGAAGTGATTGTGCAGGACTGAAATTTCCCATTAAGCATCACTCAGCAATTAAGAAGTAGGATTATGAGAATAGGATGAGTAAATAGAAGCAACTCATCAAAGCTTCTCAAGAACTGATCTGAATAAAAAGAAACAAATGACCTGATGCCATGAATATTAATTTCGTTGAAAAAACATTAGCACTATCATAGTTTTATCCTTTGAGGAAAAATAACCAAAAGAACATAGAGTCTAATGCCTAATTGTTCAGTGAATGGCACTTACTCTTTATCAAGCTCAAAACTGCAGCAGCACTTGTGTTAAGCGTTGGCTGTAACAGTGGACCAACAACCATAGCTGGGTTTATGGTGACCAGGTCGAGACCTTTCTCTTTCACGAATTTCCAGGCAGCATCCTCGGCCAATGTCTTTGATAGGGGATACCATAGCTAGTAGAAATTACATGTAAAATGGAAGAAAAGAACGCATAACTTTTAAGTATAGACAAGCAAGTGAAACAGATATAGAGCAGCTATCTCCTCACACGCAGACATCAGCAGTTAAGTGTTAATCAGCGAAAGACTTCAACCAGAGTTGCTCTAAATACAAATATTTTACAAGTTTTTCTATGGCAAAAAAACAAAAAAACAAAAAAAACATAATAGAAAGGAAAAATGATTACCTGCTCTGATATTTCTCATGAGTTCGCTGCTTAAAGAACTCTCCCCAAATTTTGTATATTTAATTTACTATTCATCACAACGATATATTACTATACTGTTACCACTTGTTACAAAATAAATAATTTTTGAATTGAGTTCCTATACTTAAAATATATTTTGTATGCCAAATCCTCATCATTACTTAATGTAGAAAATTTGTATACTCCATGAATTAATTAACTTTGTTGTCAGGGAATGAAAAGCCAAAACTATGAAAATGATATGGTCTACGACCATAAAAACCCCACGAAAGCTATTTAAGAGTCTGCCTTCAATTGCAGATGTATGTATCTCACAGAGAATGCTGAAGAATAAAACACACCTTCATTTCTTTGCAGAACTCCGGATTAGTCCACCTTGTTTCATCAACTACAACTTCAGGTGTTAAAGGCTCGCCATTGTAAGCAACTGCAGCTATGGAAGATGTCAAAACAACTCTTTTAACAGATGGTGCTTTCGCACATGATTCGAGAACATTGAGTGTCCCTTTGAGAGCAGGTTCAACCAATTCAGCCTGAAGAAGAGAGTGAAAAAAATTAAATAATGCTTCTCAAACATGAATATAAATACTCCGCTGATTTAATTGACAAGAACCCGAAAAGTTGTCCAGCATCATTTAGCAATTGTAAGCTAACCTATAGCAACAACATTTCGAAACGCTCTGCACTTCCATGGCCAGTTTTGGATATTATCACTCTTTTACCTTAAAATTAGGATATACACAATGAGTCTGAGCATGTCCCACCAACAAACACGGATGTAAAGCTAAACAAATTACTTCTGCCCCAAGGACCTGGGACTGTGTTGATTGAAAGAGATGATAATCGGCTTGTCCAATGGATTTCTCTCGAGTTCGATTTTATTTTTTATGAAGCAACTCGTAGTACAGATCTAGCTTATTGATACTGTAAGCTATCTGTAAGCACTTCTTTTTTTCTCCGAAGAATTATTAAATGTTGCATTTTATTCAACGATAGAATAATTGAAGTTATCGGATTATTAGTCTAAGATTTATCAATTTTAACCAAAGGGATGCCATTTGATGCATTATGGGCTGACGAAGCATGGG